TATATATATATATAAGTTATATAGGGTCAACTACCTGTAGAGTTAAGGAAATGGGAGCATCGACATTGCTAACATGAGCTGGACAGCCTAGGAATGCCGTGTCATCAATTTTGGACAAGTGGACGGCAATAGCCATTTTAATCAGTCTGCATTAGAATCTGACACTGTAATTATCATTCAACAATAAAATTTAATTTTAAAAATTATTTTTTAAAAAGACCGAAACAGTAATCGGAAATTTAAGTGGCGCAGTCGGTAGGATTGGTCAATCGGTATTAAGGAACATAATATCGGTTCGTTTCAACGATTTATTGACCATCCAAACAAAATTCGGACTTTTGGTGACTTAATCGCGAGTTACGAAACTGTTCCGAGCAAAGTGTAGAAGTGTCCAGCTAGGTGAAAGGGAGAGTAGTCTAGCGAGAAGCAAAAAGCAGTTCTGAGAGAATATCAGCACACTTTTTGGGACCAAAAACTACATGGATATCCGGATGCTGTTACTGTAAGTACACGAATGTCTTATAGAGGTCAACTTGAATATAATTCAGAAAACTCCGAAGATTCTGATTCATTCTCACCCACACTAAATCGTCTTAGGTTCCAATTAACAAATTTTAATTTTAACAGTCAAAATAATTCAACAAACATGACTGAACCTGGTACAAATGTATTACCTGTTCTAAAACAAGAGTATCTAAATATGATACCAGAATTTAACGGACAAACCGAACTTTTACCAAGGTTTATAGAAATAAGTGAAAAATTAGTAAAAAAATTTTACAACACTGCTGATCAAACAGACTTTCAAAATGAATATTTGATGTCTAGCATCTTAGCAAAAATTAAAGGCGAAGCCGCTATAAATATTTCATCTTGTATAATAAGTACAGTATAATCCCTCTTAACCGGCTTCGTATTAACCGGCCGACAGATTAACCGGCCTGTTTACTTACAAATACACGACGACATTCTTAAGACTATACGCAGGCGCGCACATAGTGGGGCGCACAGAGTGGGGCGCGGTAGTACATAATGTGCATATTTGTTAAAAGTTTTGATCAGTCAACTGTTGTATTCGTGTATCACTGTGTTATTCTCGTTTTCGATGAGTGCAAAGCGTAAACGAGTTGTAGTTTCGATGGACATGCGTCTTAAGGCGCTAAAACGGATTGATAATGGTGAATCCGTGGCAAAAATTTGTGCTGAACTTAATGTTGGAAAAAGCACTGTAAACGACTGGCGAAAAGAAAGGCGTTCCATCGAGGATTTTTGTTCAAAAATGGAATCGGATAAAAATCTGTCAAGCCGTTGTACGAAAAAAAAAACCGTTTTGCGAGATTGTAGATGAAGCTTTGTGGATATGGTTTATTCAAGAACGTCGAAGGGGTACACCGATTGGCGGCCCAATTTTGAAAGAAAAAGCTTTGGTTATTCACAAAAAAATTGAAAACGGAGGCGAATTTGTTGCAAGCGATGGTTGGCTTAACAGATGGAAGAAGCGACATGGAATTCATTTCGCACATGTAAGTGGTGAAAAAATGTCTGCCGATATTTCTGGTTCAACCGATTTCCAAATTAAATTCCTGGAAATGGTGGAAAGAGAAAAATTAACTCCTGAACAAGTATATAACATGGATGAAACAGGAATAAACTTTAAAATGTTACCAGAAATAACTTTTCTTAGCAGTCACGAAAAGTCGGCTCCTGGTTTTAAGAAAAATAAAGAACGTATTACAGTAGCGGTTTGTTCAAATGCAGCAGGTACTCATAAAATACCTCTTTTCGTCTTTAGTAAATCGGCTAAGCCACGTGCGTTCAAAAACTTGAATCCATCGTCCCTCCCTGTGTACTACAGATCACAAAAATCAGCGTGGATGAGCACAGACTTGTTTAAAGAGTGGTTTAATATAGAATTTGTTCCAAAGGTAATAGGACATTTAAAGAATATAAACTTGCCTATCAAAGCAGTCCTAATTTTGGACAATGCACCAACTCAGCCTCAAGACCTGACCTGTCATACAGCTGACATAAAAATAATTTACCTTCCTCCTAACGTGACCAGCTTAATACAACCCATGGACCAAGGGGTGATTGAAAGCTTAAAAAAACGGTACAGACGTAAACTTGTTTCCGAAATTTTGCAATATTCGGAAAGTGAAGACAAGGGCCTTCTGGAAATCATTAAGAAAATCAACATTAAGGATGTGATCTACATGTTAGCTATGGCCTTCCAAGAAATGCCTTCCGCTACATTCGTAAAATCTTGGCGAAAACTTTGGCCAGACATCGAGAAACTTGTTGCGAATGCGAATCCTTCAGGGGGCGAGGAAGTAGAAAACGAATCCATTCTTCAAGATCTTCAAAAGTTATCGGGTAACGACACAATGCAGCCAGAAGATGTAGAGAATT